CTTATGTTACAGTTTACTGGACTGTTCTACACAGACATTTGCTGATAAATCTGGAGGCTTTTTAAGAGAAGACACATTTGTTAGAGCCATTACTCATTTTAATCACACACTAACATTTTACACACACAAACAAACAGAGAGAGAGAGAGAGAGAGAGATCTTGAAATGAAGAGCATTAAAGGAGCTATCATTTAAGGATATTAGCAAAGCTCTTGAAAGTGAGACAAAAAGGACAGTGTTCAACACCTCTGAAGTAAGATATGAAGCGTTGAACATGTGGAGAGACATAAGATCATTATTTTTACATTAAACACTCTGCTGCCCATCGTTTTGTAATTGGTCTGCTTCCTCTTGTATTTTTTTTGGACAAAGATTGTAATGCACTTTTTATTTTGTCATTGCGATTCCTAAAGAATGTGTGATTTGAATAGTTTTGCAATCCCTTCTTATCATATAATATAATTGTAGAAATTACATTGGAATAGATTTGTTTTGTGAATCATACAAACTCTCAGCTTCCGTGAATTGATTCAAAGCGCAGATTCATTGATTCCTTTTGGTTCATCACTCATCAGTAAGAAAATGTCACATTATACACCATTTTCAAAAGTTTGGGAATCTATTTTTTAAAAGTCATTTGTGCTTACCAAGGCTGCATTTATTTAATCAAAAATATGTTAAAATAGAAATTTTGTGAAATATTAGGCTATATTTTTTAAAAGTTTTCTATTTGAATACATCACAAAATTCCTGTGATGGCAAAGCTGAATTTTCCAACCCGATCTCACGGCAATTCGTACGAATTTTACGAGGTGGCTAATTCGTAACAATTCGTACGACCTCACTTTTTGTTAAATCGTACATGTTTTACCAATTCGTATGAATTCGTGCGAATGACCTACCCTAGACCCTGCCCCTAAACCTACCCATCACGTGGGTTTAGACAAATATTGTACGAGTGAGGTCGTATGAATTAGTACGAATTAGCCACTTTTTAATCACTTGTACAAATTCGTACGAATTGGTCGTGAGATAGCGTTGGAATTTTCAGCAACATTTCTCCAGTCTTCCGTGTCATATGATTTTTCAGAAATAATTTGAATATGATATTTATACATATATATTCTTTTGTTTTCATCTTGCAATCGATGTTATAAGCCAGACCGATATATCGGCCGGCCGATATTATCGGCCGATATTAGGCATGTTACATAATATCGGTATCGGCAGTTAAAATGGCCGATAAATAATATTTAAAAAATAAAATAAAAATAGACGAAACATGCTTCAATCATCTCTCCTTGGCCTGTTATATTGAAAATATATGTTTTACAATTTGCAGTATGATTTGATTATGGCTCATCATAGACTAGCTAACCACAAAGCAGGCTAATGCCACTATCTTCAGTGGAAGACCGCTAATGTTAACATTAATGAGCTTGGAAACCACAATGAACTTTTTCTGCCTAAATAAAGTAATGATTACTGTATTTATAACTAGCATATCTCTAGTTACAGTCCCTGCATTGTAAAGTGTAAGTTAAACTTGCGAGGAGTGAACAGTTAGACGTAGAGAAAAAGTATCAAACGTATCTTGTGCAGAAAAGTTCGCTTTTCTTTTACACGTGTGTGATATCCAACAATCGTTATCGGCCTTCAAAATCCTTTATCGGTCGGGCTCTATAATAAATATAGGCTAAGCCCTGTTCACACTGACAACGCTACAAGTTGCCAAGTCACTGTGCCGTTTCTACTCTGAACTGTATTGAACGTCTCATTTTCCTTCCTATAGTGTACAGTTTTCAGCACGAGAAGTATCTATCTCTCTGTAGCTGGAGTATAATAATGTAATTGATTCGTTCTGTAAAGCAGAGATATGTGGCGATACACAGCTCCCCTGCAGAGACGAGCTTTGTCATATTGAATATTGATCTTCCTGTCTAGAGTTCTCAGTGGATGAGAAAGTTCTGTCAGACCGGAGCGCTGCGCCTCTGTTTCCTCTGCTGTTCTTCAGACTCCTTTTATCAGAACACTTGTTTTTCTGTGGGGTAAAGATTATTTTATTTAGCAGCTTGGCAGAACAATGTTTGCTGGAGGTAGACAAGCGTACGCCTACTGGAGAGTGCAATGCTTATGTTGTGTAATGTCTTTTAGCACAAACAGCATATCCGGTCTATTGCAGGAATAGACTTCATACTGTTTATGTATGATCCTTAAAGACTTGAAACAGCATGTGCATTTCATTTTACATCACACTCATTTCCATAATGCTCACCAAGGCATTTCTTTGATCACAAATACAGTAGTGTTGTGAAATATTATTTCGATTGAAAATAATGGTTTTCTATTTGAGTTTTCATCAAGCTTTACTTCTTAAATGTCACATGATCCTTCAGAAAACATTCTAATATGCTAATTTGCTGCTCAAGAAACATTTCAGAAAACAGTTGAGCTGCTTAATTTGTTTGGAAAACACTTTTTTTTTCAGAATTCTTAGATAACTAGAAATGGAAAAAAACAGCATTTATTTGAAAATAGAAATCTTTTGTAACAGTATAAATAACTTCACTGTCACTTTTGATGATGCTTGAATGTGTCCTTGCTGAATAAACAGATATTTTTCTTAAAATTTTTACTTCAAATTCTTAGGAATTTATTATGAAAGGAAACCTTTAACCAAAAAATGTTTTATACTGATGTCATTTTTTTTTTTCTGTTAGAAGGACATGACCCTGAAGCCCCACGAGCGGAGGCAGAACCAGGCAGGACCGCTGCGCAAGAAGAAGCCCGGCCGAGTGCCGAACGGACTGAACATAGACCTACACAAAGACCGACTCAACAACCACCAGCACCACCACTCAGACCAGGAGAACAACCCTCGCCTGGCCCATACACATGGCAAGAAGAAGAAACACCTGCAGAAGAAACACCGACCTGTGAGTTTAACTTTAGCTTATGTTTAACTACATGTGTCCAAAAATCACGATTGGGGTCTGTTCAAACAGGAACTGGGAGCCTTGATGTATTTGGCAGATTTTGTTGGTAGATTCTATTGATTTCGAGCTTCAGCATTTGGTTGGAGTAAAATAGGTGTCAGACGCAGCTGCGAAATTAGAAATAGTAGTCAATACGTTTTATCATGATTAAAAAAAACTATCTATCTATCTATCTATCTATCTATCTATCTATCTATCTATCTATCTATCTATCTATCTATCTATCTATCTATCTATCTATCTGTCTGTTTTATATATCTAAATGTGTTAACATTTCTATATTTTTTTCCCTTCATTTTATTTTATTTCTATTTAATTTCATCTAATATTTATATATATATTTTTTCAGCTTTATTTCTATAATCAAAAACAGGTTTAATTGTTTTTGTTTTAGTCAAAGATAATAACGCTGTTCTGGATGGGCTACTGTCTGTTCCCTTTGCACCTAATTATAGTTTACCTCAAGGCACTGCTTTGTTTCAGAGTGTTTTTAAATGAAATCATGATTAGATTGTGTACTGAGATAATGCAAACCTACAGTCATGTTAATTTCTCAAAGCTGTGTCTTCTTCACTGAGAATGACGGAACAACAGAAGAGGTGCGCCAATCTGACTCCATTAAGGCAGAGCTCGTTTGAATCAAGTAATTGTCGATGATCATTAGCCGTCTCTGTCACGGCGTGAGACTTATTACCGATCTAATCGAAGGAGGTAATTAATAAGATACTAGGTTTTACAGGCAGGCTGGTTGTTGGATCTTTCAGACATTACACAATGAAAAAAGTGTGGACTGATTTACAAAAGTGCTAAAGCAGAGAGAGAGAGAGAGAGAGAAAGAATAATAGAGATTGTGTCCTCTAAGATTAGATGTGTAAAGACACTGCTGATTAACTCTGTCATTAAGGATGAACGAGAAGCGGATGGGCTCTGGCTTTTTTGGACTTGTTTTATGGTGCTAATTAAATTAGTCACTCTTGTTATTGTTGCTGCGAGGTGCTGCTCTCTTGCTCTTTGTGTTTGTGTGTGTTTGTGACATCCTCTTGTTTTCACTAATGAGTATTTATGGCATGTTTACACAGAGGAATTGCCACTACAGAGCAAGCAATCAGATGGCCACACACTACACTGAACACACACACACTCTCATGTACGCTTTAAGGCACAGTTCACCCCAAAAATATTCCATTTTTTTTCACATGGAACATTATATAATTTGTTTTTAAGGATGTCCTGGCAACTCTTTTCAGTATAATTATGTGTGATTTAGGGGATGTTAAGCACAAATAAGCACAAGCGGTCCATAGACTTTTATTTTAAGCCAGTACATTTGTGTGAGTTATTTGCTGACAATACCCCTCTCTTTTGAGCTGTGAATCACTATATTGAACCGATTCATCTAACTGATTTATTTAAAAAGTTATGTCTCAAAAGAATGATTCATTCACTCATACATGCACTAAGAAGAGCTTTGAAGTTCATACCTTTATGATGCATATGAATCCTTTTTGAAGCTTTCCCATTCAGTGTTATTGGGTGTGCCTAGTACATTCTTCAAAATGCTCAGTCATGTGGGTTTGGAACCACTTGAGGATCAGTAAATGATGACATCATTTCTTTTTTTGGGGTTGGTGAAAAATATCTTTAAACTTGGGATGCACAATATCGGCTACCATATCGGTATCGGCCAATATATTAAAGCCGATAATTAATGTATTATTTCCTTCAACCGAGACGCTTCAGATACGCACTGTTCGCCGTGATGTTTTTGAATTGCTTGAAATGATTAGAATCACTTTGAGAAAGAAAATACAGTTAAGTGCAACATGAGTGTCTCATAAGCTAATGAGAACATCTTTATAATGGTGTGACTTGGACATTATGAGACTTTTGTTTTTGTAATCAGGCTTTCAAACATTATCTGAAAATTTCGAATTTAGATTTATTGGCTTAAATATCGGTCATCGGCTTTCAAGAATTATCGGTTATCGGTATCGGTCAAAAATTTCATAAAGGTGCATCTCTACTGTTAGACATACATACTCCTTTCTCCATAGATACTAGAAGCTGTAGACAGGAAGGGTACTGGTACATTTGTCCTTGTTATGGAGAGAGAGAGCGAGAGAGAGAGAGCAGCTCTCTTGTTCATCATGTGTATTCTGTCCATGCCTGAATTAAGAGCTGACAAATCCATCTCTCATGGAGCAGACTGAGGGAAGGGATGGTTTGGACACTTTAAGCTTTTATCAAACACCAAGGCAATGGCCATAAACTTGAGTTACGCTGGATGGTGAGGAATTAAATTCCTTTTCTTCACTGTTTCATCCCCTTTCTCCCTCACCCAACTTTCCTGCCCAGCTGCATATATTGTGCTGCACAGATGTGAGTTTGACCTCTACGGCGTGTATCAAACATGCACATGTTTCCTGGATATAAACAACTTGTTTCTAGCAAACAGTTGATGATAGATTTGTAAACGATGGATGAATATGTGTTCTGTTTAACCATGTGGTTCATAATCGGTTTATTTATGTACACTTCTGGTCAAAAGTTTGAGGTTGAGATTTTTTCATGTTTTTGACTCTTATGGTCACTGAGGCTGAATTTATTTGATCAAACATATGTAAAAACAGTAATGTTAAATTATTACAATTTAAAATAAGTTTTCTGTTTAAATATAATTTTAAAGCACCCCCCCCCTCCCAGCCTACAATGTTCAAAAGAACAGTATTTATTTGAAATGGAAAATCTTTTGTAATATATATATATATATATATATATATATACTGTAATATTTGATCAGTTTATTGTCCTTATTGTGTAATTCTTACACTTAAATACATCAATATATTTAATTAGCCAAAATATATGTATGTACTGTAGAACTGTGGGTACTGTATTTTGATTTCTACTTCTTACTGGGTTTTTTCTAGGTCAGAGGTGCCCATATTTTATTTTTTTGCTTGTGTGTGAATGAGAACGTTGTGTGTGTGTGTCTGTGTGCACGTAGGTTTGAAGTTCCAGCAGATGGGTCTCAATGTTTCCTGGTGAGTTGACTCAGCTGACAGCTCTGACTCACCTTTATATTGCTGTCACACAAAATATTGTTCACAGTCTTGGCTTCAGAACCCTTGACTGCCCTCTCCTGAGCCCTGAACAGCTGTCCACTACAGTGCCTGTGTGAAGAGCACTGATTTAGAAAAACGGGGAATCTGGCGGGACACCCTGGGGAAGGCTGATAGAATCCAGAGGAGCACTCATATCACATACGGCCAGGGAACATGATTATCCATCCATACATTTTCCAAACTGCTTGTGTGTCTGTCTGTCTATCTATCTATCTATCTATCTATCTATCTATCTATCTATCTATCTATCTATCTATCTATCTATCTATCTATCTATCTATCTATCTATCTATCTATCTATCTATCTATCTATCTATCTATCTATCTATCTATCTATCTATCTATCTATCTATCTATCTATCTATCTATCTATCTATCTATCTATCTATCTATCTATCTATCTGTCTGTCTATCTATCTATCTATCTATCTATCTATCTATCTATCTATCTATCTATCTATCTATCTATCATCTTCTGTCTGTCTGTCTGCCATATTGTTTTCTGTCTCTGACACACACTACTCATGTGGACAGAAAGCTGTTTCAGACAGCGCTGGAATGGACAAAAAAATATGACTATGATGCAGGAGAAAAAAGTTCAACAGTCTCAGCAATAAAAAAAAAACAATACAAGCAAACAAAAACACAAAAGCGACGTTTATCTAAAGTTGTTTTTACTTATTAGTAGGTTGAACTGGATCATCGAAATTCAGCAGCAAAGACAATGGTTAGTAATAATAAATGAGATCAAATACATAAGAGTATATTTCTTTTATTTAACATTTAATCATTGCAGGTTTGCGTAATATTCGCATTTCACTGTTTTTATTCATTTTGAGGAATACTGAATCTGTTTATGTGCATGTCAGATGAGTAAATGCATGCTCACTTTTGATCCAGAGCTACAATAATCTAGAAAATAGAAATATGAAGCAGCACCACACCATTTTGATTTCTGAAGGATCATGTGACAGTGAAGACTGGAGAAATGACTGGTGAAAATGAAAATTCATCTTTGCCTTCACATGAATAAAGTACATTTTATAGTATAGATATATTTATATTTAAAAAAATAAATAAAATGAATTTGTTTCGTTCATTCATACATTTATGATGAGGTGTGTATGTGCAGATAGGCAGGGACATGTTCAGGAGGGGACACCATAGCCACACAGACAGGGCTATCTAGGCACTCTCCTCTGTTTGCAGTAAATCCCAGATCCACAAACAGCAGCCATATATAAACATAAACCCAGCAGCAGACTCAGACGCATGATGCATTGCCTTGTCCTGATACAACCCTGCAGCCAGGGAAAAGAAAACATCCACCTCTTTATCAAGCTCTTATAGGCATGTATGACAGAGATATATGAACATGCTTCTCTCAACCCAGTGGTAATTAGAGGCTGCAGGAATGTTTAGAAAAATTCATTATGAGAGCTGTCACAACTATGTACGGTTCACATCAGAGTGTTGTGTTTTAAATGAGCGGTCTCTTGATTTGATAATGAAAGTTGTCTCCTGTGTTGTGCTGTTATTGACTACTGTGACAAATTGACATAAATAATATATATTGTGCCTTGTGTTAATTTTGGGATTTTTTTTTTGTTTTGTTAATACAGCATTTTTAAAAAACATATACTTTTTAATATTTACTTTATGCATTTACAGTATATTTGGTTACAATGGCAGTTTGACATATTGTGTTGCTTAGTCCTACCATAGAGAGCTCATGTGGGTGTCTGCGTTCATGCACTAATCACAGGCCCATGCTCAGACGAGGTTGTCATCTGCCTGGAAGGTTGTGTGTGTGCA